TTTCGATTTATTTCCTACTTTTCTCCCGCGTCTCTCTCACTTCCCCTCCTCCACGCTCACCCCCTCCCCATCCCCGCCAGGTCTCCTTCGCTTGCCACCTCGCTCTCCCTGCCTTGCTACCGCTCACTGCTCACTGCTCACTCACCCACCTCCCCACTCCGTCTCTTCACAGCTGGGAACTGCTGGCTCCGTCAAGCGAAGAACGGCCGCTGCCAGGTCCTGTACAAGACCGAACTGAGCAAAGAGGAGTGCTGCAGCACCGGCCGTCTGAGCACCTCATGGACCGAGGAGGACGTGAATGACAACACACTCTTCAAGTGGATGATTTTCAACGGGGGAGCCCCCAACTGCATCCCCTGTAAAGGTAGGACTCCTTCTTCCCGACTTCCAGGCCCTCAGTAGAGGGCGTCTTACCCTTAGCTTCCCCACTACCTGACTGGGGTTTGGGAGTAGGAGAGCTTTGTTCGTGGGCTTCCCCTTTCTGTCCCTTGCCCTGGTAAGCCGTGCAGACTCGAATTCTGCCTGTTACAGGCTGTAGGTAAAACACCCCAGACTTCTTAGCCAAGTGTGGTGGTGAAGCCCACCAACCTGTGCCCCTTGATGAGAGAAATCTGGGTTTGGGGCACAACTCAAGGTCCGCACTCTTTCATCAACTCCCAATCTTCTAGGAGAGAGCCTGGGGCCCCTCCAGCGCAAACTCAGGGCTGCATGATTGCGCAAGACACCCGAAGCCCTCCTGGCTGACCTGCAGACTGCCTGGCTCTGGTTTTAATCCATGCCTGTTTCCAACTCACAGAAACGTGTGAGAACGTGGACTGTGGACCTGGGAAAAAATGCCGAATGAACAAGAAGAACAAACCCCGCTGCGTCTGCGCCCCGGATTGTTCCAACATCACCTGGAAGGGTCCAGTCTGCGGGCTGGACGGGAAAACCTACCGCAATGAATGTGCACTCCTAAAGGCAAGATGTAAAGAGCAGCCAGAACTGGAAGTCCAGTACCAAGGCAGATGTAAAAGTAGGTCCTACCCTGTTGAGCAAGACTGGATCTGTCCCCTCCTCCAGCTTTGTACCTAAAGTAGACCCTCTAGGAGACCTCTGGGGGATGGTGCAGTCCACAGTAAGAGCCTGATAATAATAATACTGAAACCAAAAAGGAGTCCTTTTCTAACTTCTAGAGACTCATTAAGAACACTGAGGGGACCAACCTAGAGTCATAGATTCTCTCTTGAAAACTACAGGGCTCCCAAAATTGCCTTTTGAAAGCTGGATGCTTCAGTGTCATGATTGCCTTGGTAACTTCAAGTGCTCGCTCCCTAAGCACTAGAAGGTACCTACTCATGTGTGTTTCCTTCTTTGTTCCAGAGACTTGTCGGGATGTTTTCTGTCCAGGCAGCTCCACATGTGTGGTGGACCAGACCAATAATGCCTACTGTGTGACCTGTAATCGGATTTGCCCAGAGCCCACTTCCTCTGAGCAATATCTCTGTGGGAATGATGGAGTCACCTACTCCAGTGCCTGCCACCTGAGAAAGGCTACCTGCCTGCTGGGCAGATCTATTGGATTAGCCTATGAGGGAAAGTGTATCAGTAGGTATTCCGGATTGAGGAAGGAAAAAGAGAAAACAGGCTAGTTCTAGTATTAAACTGTGGGGTTAACAAATAAGTAAGCCCAAGGCATCCCAAAACACCATAGGGAGAAATATGCTGCAATTTGGGGTCTGTTGTGACCACAGCATTCCTCATGGAAACCGTTGTCTTCTGGTGGCATTGACACATATATTCAAATGCCAGCAGGAAGCAAGAAACAGTATTCCATCTTAGAAAACTTAGAACTCACTCAATTTTACACATTTTTTTAAGTGCCAGACTTGCTGGAAGCGAAAAATAATTACTTAGCAGTTCCAGAAATCTGTTATCAGATTCTAGTAATTAATGGAATTCTTTCATTTGTAAAAGATCCCACTTGTGGGAAATAATAAGATACATATTTAACTCGAGAATATTGTAAAATCCTGTTCTAAAAAAAATACTATTTTAATGCACTAATGTAGTATGTAAGAAACTGCAGAGGTTTTGTGTGTGTGTATGTGTGTATGCATTTGAGTTTCAGTTTTATTATCCAGCATTTTTGCTTAATATCTCCATTACCCCCATTAGTAATAAGATATAAATTATGTTTATATTTATTGATAGAGCACTAGAGAAAGGGAGAAAAGGGGGATATGGGGAAATCAGTTTACTCATCACAGTTGTATTATATCCTAGAAGCAAAGTCCTGTGAAGATATCCAGTGCTCTGGTGGGAAAAAATGTTTATGGGATTTCAAGGTTGGGAGAGGCCGGTGTTCCCTCTGTGATGAGCTGTGCCCTGACAGTAAGTCGGATGAGCCTGTCTGTGCCAGTGACAATGCCACTTATGCCAGCGAGTGTGCCATGAAGGAAGCTGCCTGCTCCTCAGGTGTGCTGCTGGAAGTAAAGCACTCCGGATCTTGCAACTGTAAGTGTGATTTTTAACCTTGCTGCCATTTAAGGCTTTCCCAGGCAATCCCTAGGGAATGGACACTTACAAAGCACGCAGATCTCCCACATAAATTCATTTCTGTTCAAATTAGGAAGCTGCTAAGTATCACCAGCAATTCAATAATCCACAGAAAAATTCTCTGCAATGTTTCTTGGCTTTTAGGATTTATCCGGTGATCATCAATGGGGTTGCCTCTAAAAATCTATTTCCAGTTGTTTTCCCCTATTTCTTGTGCTTTGGTAGTATGCTTTGCTGTTTGCTTTATTAACATTTGAATCTAAACTAACTGCTTCAAAAGTTTTTTGTGTTTTTTTTTTTTCCAAAGACAGCTTCATATTATCATACATGGGCTGCTGCTTTTTGCAGTTGCCTCTACTAACTCTGAATTAAGGACCCAAAGCAGTTATACCTAGAACACAAGAGCGCTTTTTATCTAATTTCAGGAATCTGCCCGTAAAACCTGAGCCATTGATTCTTCAGAACTTTCTGCAGTTTTTGACTTCATAGATTATGCTTTAAATTTTTTTTTAACTTATTGCATAACAGCAGATGCCAAAAACAAAAAAAGCATCTCACTGCAAGTCACATAAAAATGCAACGCTGTAATATGGCTGTATCAGAGGGCTTTGAAAACATACACTGAGCTGCTTCTGCGCTGTTGTTGTCCGTATTTAAACAACAGCTCCCCTGTATTCCCCCATCTAGCCATTTCGGAAGACACCGAGGAAGAGGAGGAAGATGAAGACCAGGACTACAGCTTTCCTATATCTTCTATTCTAGAGTGGTAAACTCTCTACAAGTGTTCAGTGTTGACATAGCCTTTGGGCAAAGAAAAAGAAAAAAGAAAAAAAAGAAAAATATATTGTCCATACTGTAAATAAGTGTATGCTTATTTATTTGGGGGGAAAACTATACATTAAAGGACCTTTGTCCTAAAGCTCTCTCCCAGGCCACCTTGTTACTCATTGGACACGGAGAGGCATTCATTGTGAGGTCTACTGGATGAGGCCCATAGTTGAGACTTGTAGACATTTATTTATACTGTGTCATGTTTTATAATTTATACATAAAATGTCTGGTTGACTGTATACCTTGTTTTTGAAGAAATTTATTCGTGAAAGGAAGAGCAGTTGTTATTTATTGTGAGGTCTCTTGCTTGTAAAGTAAAAGCTTTTTTTCCTTGTAAACCATTTAAGTCCATTCCTTACTATTCACTCATCTGTCTCCCTTCATTTCACTGTTAGACTCTTTTCCACTTTCAACAAACTTGCATGTCAGTTTCTGTCATGTTTATTTATTGGATTCTCTGCTGCCTGATCTGTACATACATGATCCCTCGGGTTTTGTTTACAAGGAACCTTGACTGACCAAAAGGCATTATAACTCTTACTCAAATACAAGGTACAGAGGATAAGCATCTTTGAGGAAACTCCTACTTCAGTTCTTTTGTTATGATGAAGACATTTGTGAGAGAGGAGATGATTAGAATTCTAGTAATGTACTTTTAATATGTTACAGATACAAAGAAATGATGTGGGTGTCAGGAGACTAAAGGATAGTGAAGGCTACACATTCAACCTTTTGTTAGGTGTTTCCTTTAAGCTAGTCAGCTGTACCTTTTAAATTAGTTCTTTTTCAACCAATGTGTCACTAAAAGTTTTATCAAAGCTTTATCAGTTCAAGTTTCTTGCTTTTCATAATACTTTTTTCGATGCAATTTTATATTTTCAAACATGGCAAGTTAAAATATAAATTCATTTAAATATATAGTTTTGTACTTTTCTACCATGTAAATGTGCAATGTATATAAAAATTATAATGTGTATTTGTAAATAAATGATGAGTGAAAAAATAAAAAATTTTAAAAAGCCAATGGTTTCAATTCCTGATGATGCAAAAGAAGTTATTTGGACTTTTGAGTAAAAATGTGTATGATACCTTTGCTGAGGAATGTAGCTATCTCTGAAATTACATGACCAGGGCAGTAGAAGCTCCAGAGTGAGGTTAGTTATAGATCACTTCACTGGAGTTTGAAAGATAAAGGGATCTGAGGTCCAGAAACCCCACTGTAAGCGTAGCATATACCTGTCACTAACCAGAGAAGGAACAGACTGTAGATGTGGGTTCTTTCCTGCAATATACCAAGGCTAATAGTTCCTCTTTAAAAGCACCATCATTTTAGCTGTCCTTGTTGCAAGCTCATCACCATAGCCAGGGACACCCTTTATGTTACTTTCCTATAAATACAGTGCAGTTTCAGTCTTCTACAACACAACACACATCACAAGGAAAGGTGACAACAGACATAATATTTGACAAGCACATTCTAGAAATCAGAATATCAGCTGCAGAAGCAGGCATTACAGTGTTGGAATGCTAGGGACTTGATGAGGTGGGAATGGGGTGGAGGTGAATTTCCACGATGATACCCATGGTTTATGGGGATCAAATAATGTCATTCATTGTAAGAGAAAATGGATCAGTATTTCACAGTTTAGACACTATTAGAGCTTCAGAATGGTGTTTAGGACATCAGTCAATGGTCCCTGTAATACATGCGAATACATAACTAGATCATAAGCATAAGTTTCCAATTCATTGTGTGCTACATATTCAAAGCCTAAATATATTAAAAATATCAAAGAAGTACAAGATGCAAGCCTCAGACTGGCATTTGGGCCATCATTCAGTAGTACCTATAATATGTTGTAATGCATAAGAATACATAACTAGATCATCAACACAAGTTTCCAATTCAATTCCAATTCCAATTATGTACTTACATATTCAAAGCCGAATTATATTAAAAATATCAGAAATTTAAAATGTAAAGTATCAGGACTATGGAAGGGAAAGAGCAAAGTATAGTCAATATTGCCAACATTGCTAAACAATGATAAACATATCATTTCCTTCAAACACCATGACCCGGTTCTTCTTAAAAGTGTATCCCTTTTGTGAAAAGCCTCTTTAATATGAATAGTTATTCAAAATTGTTGCCAGAGACTGTTGGCTCTCAACTGTGGCCACCTAATGAGAAATTTGGTGGAGGTAGAGGAACCCCTTCAGTAGACAGTTTGTATAATGATTAGGGCCCTGTTGGATCTTATTACCTTTCAGCCCTGTGTTCCCAAAAAGGGAAAGAGAGGTGCAGAAAACAAACAGGCTGCCATTAACTGCAAGAAGACAAGGGTCGTAACTTCTCCAGTGTAGATTAGCTACTGGCTTGCCACTAGAGAGAGGCTCTCGGGAAGGGAAAGAGGGACAGGCAGATATAGTTTCACAGCCCTTCCTGGAGTTGATTTGTTGCTTGATCCCGGGATGCTACAGATGCTTTAAAGCTGCCGTTGACGATCAGAGTAAAAACGTCAAATTTAACAGGCACCGATGTGTGTCTTGGCAAGGGGAAGTGATAAAATCAACAGCTTGCCTTTTAAAAAACATCCAGATTATTTATTTAAAATTTTTATTCCAAATTTGTCAGCATCAATCATTCCTCTTAAACACTAGACAGTATCTCATTTTCCTCCTTGGAGTTTTCCACTTTTCCAGTCACCTAGTATTACACTTATTAGTACCAAAAAAATAGAAATCGCTTTTAAAATTAAAAGTAGATTAATATCTTTAGACTGTTGTTAGAATTTCAACTATGGCCCAAAAAAGTCTAATTCACATGCATATAGTGTAATTAATAGAATGGAAATACAAAATATAAATTAATAATAAAAGATCTGTCAGAAACCGAATTTAAACTAAAATGTTTATATACTACAAGGGATATGATTCCTCAAGTATAACAAAAATAAAGTCTGGCTAATTAAAGTTACTCTCAAATGGGATAGCTAAATGCAGGACCCGACCTTTGATCAGATCTTGTTCCTAAGGAAAATAATGCTGTAAATAACAATACTGGGCCAATTGATAAAATCAGAATACTGTCCAAAGATTGAAATGTTGCCTCAATGTTAAATCTACTAAAATTTGATTACTGTATTGTGGTTATGTGAGAGAATACTCTTTGACTCAGGAAATACACACTAAAATATTTTGGAAAAAGGGCCACAATGTATAAAACTTACTCTTAAATGACTTCGAAAAAAAATTATAGGTTTTATTATTTTTTTCACATGCATGCAAAGAGGGAGTACATGAATGATAAAGGAAATGGAATAAAATGTTAACAATAAGCAAATCTGAATAAAAGTTATAGGTTGTTTTTAGCACTATCTTTATTTTTGCAAAATTCCTATGAGTTTGAAAATATTGCATATCCAAATAAAAAGCTAATGCTTTTTTTTAAAAAAGTCATTCTCAGGAGGGAGAGATGCACAGCAAACTGCTTCTCCCCATTATCTGGGAAAAGAGTGAACTATCGGAGTCATTTAAAAAATGGTTTTGTATGATCAAAAGACTGGAAAACAATTCCAGTGACTTTAGCAAGGCTGCTTGGGGAATTCACATGTGCAATGAAAGAATTCCTAACACTTAAACCATGTCCAAACTGAGAAACAGCCTTTTCTATAATGATCTTTAAATTTGGAGTGATTAGTACCTTCACTGTAACACTCCAAACACCCAACACCCTCATTCTCCCCACTGCTTGCTATATATTATTTGACAAGCAATTTAATCCCTATGTACTTCAGTTTCCTCATCTATGTAACCACAACAATGAAAGTCTCTCTCTCATTACAATGTTGCGAGGATTAAAAGAGATATAACGTGTAAAGTGCTTAGATTTGTGCCTGGCACTTAAAAAACAGTCAGAAAATAAGTGTCCCCTAATATTATAATAACTACGATTAATTAGGGCCGGGTGCGGTGGCTCAAGTCTGTAATCCCAGCACTTTGGGAGGCCGAGACGGGCGGATCACGAGGTCAGGAGATCTAGACCATCCTGGCTAACACAGTGAAACCCTGTCTCTACTAAAAAAAAAGAAAATACAAAAAACTAGCCGGGCGAGGTGGCGGGCGCCTGTAGTCCCAGCTACTTGGGAGGCTGAGGC